GAGTACATAGTTGTACAGTATAATGATAATATTAACAGGATGATGTTCATATGTGAGTGATGTCATTTGTTTTTGTTCATCGTAGTGGGAGATGTTTTTAATGTGTATCTTCTTTCTTAAAAACTACTGAATCATCTCACCTTTAATTCTAGATCACTTTATTACTTTGGTCCAATATGTGCGCAGAAAAATCACGATTCTTTTAACTGGTCTTATTATATGGGGTTCTGAGAGCAAACAAACCAAAACTGTACATTTGTGTTCTTGTCATAATTAGATCATATAAGATGAAAGTTATCTCAAATATACCTTGCTCTAGGCCTCACAAGATTTTGTTTACCGAGGTCAGAGGACACATAACTGCCACAGTCCACAAACAGGGGTATAGATATATTAACATATATTTCTGTCATTTTATAAGGGTCAGGCACTTGGACACCTTACTTCTAGGAAAGATTAGAATGTCTACAATTGCACAGTTTATACTACTGAAGAGTAAAGGGCATCTTAATATAAATTTCTAAGCACTTCAAAGGGCTTTACAATACTTGGTTATATGTACAGTATACATCTGGGAGTTAATGGATCGTTGCCCCACTGGAGGTTACAGCCTCAAGTGAGAGAAACTGTCAGTACAGGTAACTATCGGCACCAACTTCTTTGGAGTAACAGTTAAGCATAGAAGAAACTGTCAGCAAATATTGTGACAACACCATATGTGAGCTTTAATTATTGATTTTACGATACTCATTCTCAGGCTGTGAAGTCGACCAACGCCTGGCTACTAACAGATGGGTTAAACAAGGGCATCACCTGTGTAGTGGGACACGCAGTCAACAGAGCTCAGTCTATTATTAAGGTTTGTCTACAGTCCTTATTTGGAGCCAGTTATAGAAGTTAGATAGTTTTCAGATAGCACGAGATGACTCAAGGCATTTATTAATTGCTTTGTGCTTCTTGAGTTGACAGATTGTACATTTGTCTATATCAGGAGATAAGGCTGCCAGACCTCATTAGAATGCTTTCATAAGTAGGCTAATAAGTTTTTTGCTTGTATAGTATTATGAGGAAGTATTTTACACTTTAATACATAACTCAGAGATAAGAGTTTGCTTTTAATAACATCACTACACCTGTACTGAGACTTGTGTAGTTATGATAGTGAACATTACCACAATTGAGACTCATTTGTAATATTAATCCTTATGGAGCACTTTAATATTTGGCGGTACACACACACACACACACACACACACTCACACACACACACACACACACACACACACACACACACGGTTTCAGTAAATTTGTTCATTGTGTGAAGATTTTGTATGTAAGACTAATAATAATTTTGTTATGAAAGAAGTCTTGAGGACATCAAAGTGATACCGAGAGATGTTTCAGGTGGGGGACAGGATGGTGTCACAGATTCATTGCCTGGGAGTGACTCCTTATGGTCTTGTTAAGAATAAATCTCGTCTTGTTAATAAGGACCCTGACCAGTTCCACTCTGTGTTGTAAGTGTTCATACATATTTAAGTTGACTTTGTGCACAGTAGCTAAAACAACTATCTGTACATACTTACCATGGACGATAACTTTGGTATATGAGGGCTGTCACTAGTCACACGTAAAATTTCGGAGCATATCGACCCCCACCTGCACAGATAGTTGTTTTGGCTACTGTACAGTGTTCTTAGTGGACAGATGGCAGTAAAGGAAACACAACTAAGAGATGGAGCTTTATTCCAGTTTCCTTCACTCCCATAATTGTCCTTATGTGTTAAGAGTTTACTTAATTTTTGAAGAGTCCTGTACACACTTACTGCTGCTCATGAGAAACACATGTAGGAAGTGTATTTAATGTTAGTTTTATTAATTTTCTCTGGCTATAGAACTAGAGTAATGTGTAAGTGGGTTTTATTTTTATTGTGAAATATTTATACATAATTTATTTAATTTTTTAACTTATTTTGACTGTATTTATTTATTGTCATGTACTGTATAGTATACATTTTATTTCATAGTTTATTCAGATAGAATGTTTGACTTGATGGTTAAAAAAATCTGTTACTAGATATGAAGTGGATGAAGAGGGTGATGAAGGCCAGCCCACCTGTCTCAATGGTGACCACACTCACTTCCTGCTTGTTGATAATGGCTTCAGGAATGAAAAAGCAAATGCTGATTATTTTTGGTGAGTACAGCCTTCCGACAACTCATATTTTTATTAACAATTACCAAGTAAGTATTTATTGTGTTGAAGTCTCCACGAAACACTTCTTATAGCTAATCATTTAATGGTGAAACAGACAGAAGTACACTAGCTCCATACAGTATCTTCATGGAGGGGTCTGACGAATTTCAAAATGAACACCGTGACTCCTGTTGTCTCGGCAGGGTTGTCAAAATTCTTTGTCCGTTGTCATATTGTTTAAGATAATTTTTGTAAATATAGATTTTTGATTGACTGTACATAACTCTGTCTTTTAAAAATGTGTTTGATCTAGCCAGTGTTTCAACGTTTTTTTATCAGGAAGAATTTGGTGGAAAGTATCCAGAGCAAGACAGAAAATAATGGCTTGAACATCCCTGTGGTAGTGTTGCTTGTGGGCGGTAGCTTGACTGACCTGCAGAAGTGTTACTTGGCGCTCATTGCAGGAATTCCAGTAGTTGTGGTTATGGGTACAGGCAAGGCAGCTGACCTTCTATCCTATGCTAAGACTACACATGGCGAATCCATACATCCGTGAGTCTGTTCCACCTTCTGTCATGTTGTTCTCGAAGTACTTTACTGTAGCTGATGTTTGTAAATGAATGAATCTCTCTAAATGTAAATAATGACTGTGATTCTCAGAAATAGATATATGTAATTAGTCTCATTCATTATCCTTTTTTTTTCACCTGTAGCGGTACACAAATAGACTGCTTATTAGATCAAGGTCAAGATATCTTATCAAAAATGCCCGAATATCTTGGAGATTTGGACGAGAAGCAGCAACAGGTAAGGTTTTATTCATGGCAGTTTTCTTGATACATACTGTACTAGGTTTTTGCTTAGCCATTGTTGAAAAATAATCAATTAATATTTCTGTTTTATTCTTGGATTTATACATTTTGACAAAACTTGAGGTATTGACCATTGGTTCTGAGAGTCCACTACTCCCTTGTAGGAAGATGGTGTATGGTGGAAAAGATAACTTTTAAGAAACCACTGTGTTCATTCCAAACATTTTTCAATCATGTTGGCTCATTAAAGATCAATATTGAAAGAATATCACACATTTTCCATATTCAAAAATGCCATTTGAGCTCAGGAATGAAATAACTTTGTACAGTAATTGTTCACCCCTTCACTTATTCTCACCACTTAAGTAGCTGTGATGAACTTGATCTTTTCTGAATGACAACAATTCGATAGTAATGAAGACAGTCTGGTGGGATAGCATTATGGGTTATTCTAGCAGAGATACTAAAGACCGTTTATTCATTTGTCACAACCATATTAATAATGATAATTGATATTTATTGAATATTATCATCATATACAAGTTTACAATTGGCTAGCAAGTTCAGAGATAATGCTGATGGTACAGTGTATGCAGTTTGGTTTGTGTTAAGTCACTGCTGGTATACATTGTGTGTTTCTTAAGTATTCATAATTTTATAGGAAATTTAAGATATGTATGAAATTAAGAATGAATATTACAGCAACTCCATAAAGTACAGTTTATGTTAAAAAATTCATATTTTTTTTTCTGTTTTGCAGGATTGTCAGAAAGTGGTGCTGAAGTGTTGTCAGCTGGGGAGTAAGATCATAGTGTTTGATATTGACACGGATTCCAGCATGGACGTTTTTATCTGGGAAGCGTTGCTGACGGGTAAGATTGGACGCATTATTTTCTCTCTCTCTCTCTCTCTCTCTCTCTCTCTCTCTCTTTCTCTCTGTGTGTGTGTGTGTGTGTGTGTGTGTGACTTTTATTAATATAAACTTTGTTATCCAGGCAATGCTGCTATGGATGGTAAACTGGAGTTGGCCCTGCAGTGGGACCGAGCTGACATAGCCGAGACGAGGATCTTTCCAAGTGAGTGATCAGGATACCATTACCACTCTCAGACGGCACTTCTTAACCCCTATCTTTCTAATTGTCCGCTTTACTACTTCACGTGATACCCTGTCAAATGCCTTTTCTCCTTCCCTAGCTATTTCTCTTGTAGTTGTCTGGTCTTATATATTACCTCTGTGGCCCTTCACCTTGTATAAACTCAACTCAATTTCTAGATCACTTTCTACAACTGCCATAACCTGAGGAGAAATTACTCGTGTATGTTATCATAGAATTTTGCAGGGTGGAAATGGACAAATGACAACCTTAAGGAGACAATGAGGAGAGCATTGTTTGAAGAGAAGATAGATTTTGTCATGCTGCTGGTGGAGAAAGGATTCATCATGAAGAATTACTTGACAGTTAACACACTCAGTGAATTGTACTCTTATGTAAGTCAGGTGACACGCAAGAGAGGAGTCTTTCTGATCTGAGTCTTGAGTGCCAGGATAAAAGTCACTGTACAGGAAGTATATTATAAGGTTGGCTTTATAAAAATCTGAAGTTACGAGAAAATAAATATTTACTAACGAAATATCCGAAGTTATAAAAAATTTTCACTGTTTTTGTAATTTTTTTTAAAGTAATAATGAAAACATGCTAAAAATAATCACTTTTTTTTTTACTATCAATTTGCTTATTTATTCCACCAACTTTATTATTCTCCAACACTTGAAAATTTATTCCTCATAGTTGAGTGATGTGTCAGAACCATAAACTCCCACCACTGTGCAGTTTGATATTCAGTACAGTACAGTACAGTACCTGGTATCAATCTCCGTGAACTCTTAACTTACCACATGTCCTAATGTTTACACAGAGGCCAAGTTCGCACCTCAACAAACTAGTGAAGTGGAAGGGGACCACCATCACCATCACAGAGATCCACCACCTTCTTAGAAATTTAGGTCTGAAACATTTCAACCAGTGCTATGAGAAACACGCCCCTAAGGAATGGACTTTTGAGGTGAGACAGTTTGGTACATTGGTATTAGAATAGTCTTAATATATTTCTAGTTCTCTGTACTGCATTGTCATAACTCTAAATGTCACTTGGACTGCACAGCATCTACCTATAGCTTGAGGTTAATTTACTGTAATGGACAAGAATGATGAACAGATAAATAAGAATCTAATAATGAGCACATGGAGAAAAAATAAAAAGAGAAATAAGTGAATAATTTATATAGATAATAGATGAATGAATATTAAAAGTGTCATTCTTATTATAATTTTTTTCACCAATAAGTAATTTCTTATTTAGTTGAGCACATGTACATGATCATAATACTGTTCTGTGCTCATGGTTCGATGTCATTAAACAATATTGTGATATCTCAGCTGTGCCTCCTCCTGATTATGTGTTTTACAGGATCATTTAAGGCTGGACATGTCGAGGAACTTTCAAAATAAGCTGTGGAAACTTTTTTTTTTCCTTTGTCAGTTTCTTATGTATATATCAGGTTATTATTAAATATCATTTCATATTTTTAGGATCCTTACCAAGAGTTATTACTATGGGCTGTTATTACTCGACGAGGTGATTTGGCATTTCATCTTTGGGAACAATGTAACTTGCCCTTTAGTGCAGCTGTTATTGCCACGTGTCTCTGTAATGCTATACAGGACAAACTCCATATCAAGGACATTGAAATCAAAAGCGAATACAAAGAGTTAAAAAAAGCCTTTGAAGAAAGAGCAATAAAGGTAAGAAAAGCAAAGTATGTTAATTTATGATTAGCAGTCCTTAAGACAACACCTTAAATAATGTTTTGGTTATTGCATAAATCCTAAACCAACAGTGTGTGAAAAGACATTATTAGCTGCCCAAGTGACTAACACGCCGATCAGTGGCGAGGATAATAAAGTTAAGTAAAGAATGAATGAAAACACAGTAAGTTTCCTTTCTTGGCAGCAGACCTTGGCTCTAAACAATGTTTTTGTTGCTGGGTAAGAGTAGGGAGGAACTTTTGACTGTGAGTGTGCATATAATTTTTTAATAGTGCTTGATAGTTATATCAGTAACCTTTTGCAGTTCAAACATCAATGAGATTAGAAATGCAATGAGATTAAAATAGATGTTACTGCAGCTGTGTCTTACTTCAAACTGTTGTTTTAGTAATGATTCAACTGTGTGTTATAGTTTACCTTATGGTCCTGACAGCTGCTGAATGAGTACTACATTGATGACCAGAAGAGTGCCCTGAGTCTGGTCGAGATGAAGAACCCTGAATGGGGGAACTTACACCCTCTTGATCTGGCCATCTTGGCTCAAGACATGGCTCTCGTCAGTACTCAATGTTGCCAAGCTATTGTTGACCAAAGATGGCAACAGATTGGCAGGTAAGTGTTGTACCGTCAAGGAAACTCAAGAGGGAGGAAAATGAGCAACTTGGCTTAACCACCTTGTGTATCGCCTCCCCTCTCTGCTAAATATAAACTGCCTTCCGTTTGACAGATAGAATACAGTATGAGCAATGTTCACATACAGTACACTAATACAGATAGACTTTCATTTACAGAAGGGTTGCTTATCTAAAAAAATCCATAAATTTAAAAGTAGTTATACATTGAAATGGATTTTCCCATTGACCACATGTACTGTGTATGAAATTCCAGGCGATTTGGGGTACGATCAGTGTATCGCGGACTACTGCTACTACTGCACCTCACCATGATACTCTTCAACCTCAGTTACTCTCTGTCTTACCTCGAGGTCGTGCTTATTGCCTTAGTCTTTTTAGATGGTCTTGAGAAAATTTTTGAGGTGAGTTAGATGAACAAAATATTTTTTTTTATTTTCAACCCTAAATGTTTACTATATTTTAGGGTGTGTAATAAATAGGAAATTAAGAATCAACAGGAATAAAGTCTGATGCTATCATAGGGTGGCCACCTGCTAGTTGATGATAATAATAACAATAATAATAATGATGATAACAGTAATGAGAACAATAATAATGATGATAAGTGATAACAATGATGATAATGATAACTTTTTTTATAATTTAGAAGTGATAAGAAATCCAGTATAATTTGAATTCTTATCTCAGGCCGTGAATGAATTTGCAAAGAGCAGGTCAAGATACAGATGGTGGTTCCACTACGACGTCGTCACTCTGATTGTTTTCATTACGGCCGTCATACTGAGGCTAATTCCGGTACGTGTTGATGTCGGAAGCTTCTTTAGAATTGTTCTCCAATGAAACTTTATCTTCAAATATGCACTTCTGTACTTTCAATCTTTTTTTCATTTGTGTATTTGTTTCTTTACCAAATGCCTAAATTTTTATTCATATTGATAATATATTTAAGGATTTTTTATTTTTTGGGGGTTGTATTTACGATATATTGGTAAATCTTTCAATTGCTGTCTACTGTTTTGGGTTCATGAGTCTGAATCTAGAGGTTTGTAGACCAGCAGAAGAGTCTATAGGAGTTTTGTGGGTGACTGTATAAGTGTGTGGGTCCAAGATACTGTACTAGGCTGGCCATCACCTCACCTGGGTTATTGACACACGTTATAGATAAACATGTGTACGTTGCTCCACAATCACTACAGTGTGTATAAATATAGATATTTTTTGTGGCATGTCTTAGGTAAAGTATGTTTGCTGTTTGGTTTGAAGATAACTATGATATGGGTTCTCCTCTGAGCTGAATAAAATCGTCTGGCATTAACCACCAAAAATATTTAAAGTGGTATTCCCATAGTGAAGGTGTTAGTGGAAATAGTCTACAAATACAAATATTTCTTTGGCTTCTGAAGTGATTACACTAATTAACACAATCTAATTCTCTCCTCTCCATCCAGGAAACCTTTGTCTTTGGCAAGTTCTTCTATGCCCTGTGCGCCATCTTGCTCAGTTGTCGCATGCTTAGGATCTTCTACATCTTTGCAAACTTGGGCCCAAAGATCCTCATCTTTATAAATATGGTATGAAAACTGAAAGAAAAGTACAGTATTGTGTTTTTCCCTATAGTGAATGAACTGTTAATGGCTTAGTTTGATGCCAATAATTTCAATACTTCTGAAGTAAACTTTTCCTCTCTGCAGATGCCAAAGCTGGGGATATTTTTGGTGTTCTTATTAGTTGTTATTCTGGGGTACAGCATCGCCTCCAGAGCTCTCCTGAACCATCCGTGTGACAACAGAATAGCCATCGCCAAGGACCCGGGGGAATTTATCACCAGTCTTGTTTTCCTTCCTTATTGGCAGATGTACGGTGAACTTCTGTTTGATCAACTTGAGAGTAAGTTACTTGTGCCCAGGATTATTGCTTTTAACCTAATTTAAGTACTGTATTATCCTGTATTTATGTATGGTTAAGTTAATGAAGTGTGACATTTAAGGTAACCTCTACTATACTTTCTTTTGATGTGAAGGTAACAGTTGGAGAAGGTGTGACTCCATGACTGAGAGCTCCATCTGGTGGGCTTCATGTAAGATGTGCAATGATACGAACGTTACTGGAATACATAACATTACCGATAAGGGTAACGTTACTGAGGTGTTTAACTTTACTGAGGAGAGTTCTGAGTGCGTGTGCTCAGACTCTTCTCAGTCCGTGATACTGGTGAAGATATTGCTGGCTGTCTACCTCTTCTTCGCTAATGTTCTGCTCCTTAACCTAATCATTGCCATCTTTACGTAAGTTGTAGTTTTAATCTGTCGTTTATGCTTGTGCTTCTTACTTTGAGCATATACGTTATTTACTTTACATTATTTTCACCACCACTCATTTGCCTGTTAGCCACTCGGGCAGTTGAACATGTCACTGTTCCACTCTGTTGGCAATTACTGGACTATGTCATTACTCTTGAAATTTCTTACCATTGTTGCAGCATTATATTGTTTTTAATCCAATTATTTACATGATACTCTTAATTTAGATTACTGATATGTCACACTACAGCACAGTACAGTATTGTTGATTTTAAAAGCTACTTATCATCATTCTCAGTTGCTTGCTTGTATCCTGTGTTTATCCACGTCATAGCGGATTTTATTCTCCATAGAGTCCGTTGAATAGATGTTACACTGTATAGTAATCATCTAGGGTTCTATGACCAAAAAAATGACCCTGTACTTTACAATGTGTCATACTAGTTTTACGGACGTGATATATTGTAAAGATTAACTAAGCTTCTTGAAGGTTAGTAGTAGTGAATGTATGTCGCTATTTGTACTGGATTGTGTCATTTTCCTCACCTTAACAGTCAGCACAGTTTTGTAATATTCTTTTAGGTTAAGTTAGGTTAGATTAAAGTTGGTTGGTTTACATTATGTTTAACCCGAGTGTATGTTTAACCCGAGTATGTGTTTGACCTGCATATGTGCTAGTTATACAGGATATAATACTGTATATATATATTGCGATCTTCCAGGAATGTGTTCGACAGTATTCAACAAAAGAGCATCGAGTACTGGAATTTTGAGATGTGCAGCCTGGCCCAGGAATATGAGAGCAAGCCAGTGTTACCACCACCTGTTGCACCCTTTATCTACCTGTGGCGGTGGATGAGGAAGGCAATGCGTACCAAAGACAAGCGGAAAATGGGTAGGACACGTTCAGAATTGTTCAGTAAAGAGTAAAACAGTACAGTATTATGTTAGTTAAAGATGAGCAAATGTTTAATATTTATCTATTCTTTATAGAAAATGTTATTGTTTGTCATTCTGAATATTTGTCACAACTTCTTTGTAGTCAATTATCATGTTTTTCTCTTATTACTGATAAAATTTGCTCCTTGTGATAAATTACTACAAGTATTTCAAATTAGTCAACTTGTTTGTCAGCTCTTGTCAACACAGATCAAATACTGGTTCAAGTCTCAGTCATTGAGGTTAACCTCCAACTGCCATACTGGGAAATGGCATCATGGTGAAGGTCCCCAGAGGATAGCACATTAACAAGAGTCATCCGGCTACAAACTCTCACCTAGAAAATAGGATTTCAGAGTCAAGCCTCAACTGTATTTATTTGCCATTTTATTTTGTTTTATTGTGTAATGCTTTTGAAGTTCAACTATCTTGTCTACAGAGCCAGACATAAGCTACAGTGAAACGAGTGCGATGCTGAGTATGTTTGAGCGGCAAGTTCGAAACTACGGATCAAGGAGTCTTGCCAAGCCAGAAGATGATACCATTGAGACACTGAACAAGATTAACAGAATGTGAGTTTACTGTGATGTTAATGTACCTTTGGTCATGCAGTTAATGTAGACACTCTCCGGGTTACACAACACTCGGTTTACACAATGACTCCCGTAAGTCCAACTATAAAAATTTTCAGGTTGTACAAGAGTTTCTGTTATTATGGAAGGTAACTATTACAGCATAACTACACTATTTGTGGAGGATTATGCGTGAGGTGGCTGAGTGCATCCCCTTGTGAGACACCATCTGTGATTCAGTACAGGGCACAGTACATGTTTACTTTGTGGAAGGATCATTTTAGCTTTACAGAAAATTCAGCTTACAGATAGGGTCTAGGAACGGAACCTTCCCGTAAACCAGGGAGTGTCTGTATGCTATTGCCTGTTCCTATATTATTGATAGAGTAAGCCCTTACAACTTTGGATTATAGTTAGTTGAGCAAGAATGCCAATCTTATAATGTGATGAATCCAAAATTAAGTGACGGTGGTATAGTGGTAATGTGCATATCTCAATATGTCAAGGGTTTGACCCCGGGATACACATGAGAAGGGTGTTTATCCAGTGTGACCCTCACTACCAAACATCACAGGTCTTCTGGACCAACTGCCCTAATGGCTAGTAAGCTGATAAGTACGTATTGAAAAAGTTAAGAAGTTGAACTATGGACACTGTGTTGACCAAGTGCTATGACAAAATGAATGTTTTTTATTACTAATATATAATACTCGTGGCATGACCTGGTGGAAGTGTGTGCATTAAACATACCAGTACTTAAGTTTTTTATTTTTCATCATTCTATTTTTTTTATCAATTTTTTTATTTCTCTCTCTAGGATTGGTGAATGGTCTGCCTGGTTTGAAAAGAACAGCTGTGCCATGAGCCGAGAAAGTGATGGCGGCGATTTCGATAAATTGAAGCAAATCTCGGACACGACCGCCAAGACACACGAGAATCTTATGCGTCTGTCCACCAGGCTAGACTTGCTTCAGGTCAACCTCCGGGACTCTCAAGCCAGACTGGAATATTCACTGGAAACACAGGGCGACATGATGAACATATTGAAGAACAATCAGGAAAACTTGATGGAGCATGTAAAAGCCAACCAGGAAAATATGACCAAATCCATAAAAGAGATGGAACAGAGAATAACAGAGACAGTGAAAAGTATGTACTCTCCACATACAGACACTTGAACCTACTACAGTACAGTACTACATATAAGGAGTAACAGGTAAGCTCTAATGGGGGGTTATGGTGTCCTGGGTTGGGGGAGAATTTAACCGATTTATTTTTAAAGTTCATTTGTAATTTAGGACTTAAACTCCACTATCTTGGTATGGGTGTGTGGCGGTGATAACACTAACCTGCTGGAGCGCATTACCCCACAAAAATGATGTATGCATATTGAAGACTTGGATGTTTGTGCACAAGAAAAATATAATTATTGAAGTTATGATGTCTTAGTTTTGTTTATAGAATAAGTATTGTTGAATTATTATATGTGGGCTGAGAACATTTATAGGTGATACTGTAGTGTACAGTCAGGTGTAGGGGAGATGAAGTTACAGCCAGTATTAAGTGATGAATGTGGGGGAGTTTTGTAATGGTGTACAGTATAAGTAATCAGTCTCAAAATATTATGAATGCGTCAAAAAGTGGGATGTAAGAGGTGGATGATTGTGATTGAGGAGTGTGAATAATGAAGAGGCATCATAATTTTTTTTTTATTTCTTCATCAATGTCATTTATTCATCGAACCATGATTTCTGGTGGAGAATATGACAGCTCTAGTTTTTGAAGCTTGAATTCTGTTTTCCGACATTTTAGGATACCCTGTATTAATTATCAGAATTAGTGTGGTCGATATACTGTTGTCCCCTATGTCAGTCTTACAGCCGGTGTGTTTGCTGGTATTAGGAGGAATAGACAGTTGATTTCACCACTGGATGCTGCCAGACTGACACATTCCTCTTGGCTTAAAAAGTCTGCAACTTTCATGCTGCCACTCTTCACACAAATTACACATGGCATCAAAACTTGTTTTTTTATATAAACACACACAAATAGGTGTATATATATATATATATATATATATATATATATATATATATATATATATATATATATATATATATATATATATATATATATATATATATATATATATATATACACACCTTGGTTTGTACTTCTCTTTAGTCTGTACTCACCCCTGAAGATGTGAATTACACGAAAGCGCTTGGGAACTTCGTGTCTTCTTCTTTCCTTGTGGTTATCAGCATATACCTAGATCACGCGCACCTACAGTGATTTAATTCAATCAGTGCCAGTGCATGTCCAGTACTTGCCAACAGTACATAACGAAGAGGATAAAGAAAAGAAGCTTACTTTATAAGCCATGCTTCAATCTTATCCTCTGAAGGTGGACCTGAAAGGACAAGTACTCCAGTTACATGTGTGTACATTATTCATAAGAATAAAATGAAGAATTGAACATTGTTGTAAAAGAACAAACAATAATGTGAATAAATATAAAGTTTGGACAATATACAAATGATTGATTCAAGAAAAGGTATAAACTATAATTAGACAAGATTTGTTTTAAGAAAATGATATTTGATCACCTCTTAAGCTCCCTCGTATACGTGTATTTATTTCAACATGTTTTAAGTTCATAAGAAAACTTGTTATAATTTTAAAACTTAAGATAAACATTTTGGATAATACTAAATAGCAGGGTTTAATAAAAGAATATCTAGCAGACACAGTACACACATATACAGGGTGGTCTGTAAATACCTCTCATAACTCAGGCGGTGCATGCCTGAGACATAAATAAAGGTAATTTACTGAATGACCAAATTGTCAATTCTCAATAGTTTCAGAATTACAGCACATGGCAGGTTTGATAGGAATGTGATGAAACCTACAGTTGTCTGATATAAATCCCCTTGATTTCTACCTGTGGGGTCACATAATAAGCTAGGTTTATGTTATAGAGGTCCGCAAACCGTGAGGAATTGTGGCTCCGAGTACAGGACAGTGTGACAAAAATTCTCAACACCCCGGGGGTCACTGAACGTGTGTGACACTCACTAGTGCGACGGACTGACCCCTACATTGATGGTTCAGTTCTGCGTACCAGAAAAAAATAAAAAATAAATTACGTCACAGATTGGCGATCACTGTGTAGCTTATAACATGCGAGTAATGTTATGGATCCTGAGTATGGTAAGTCCTTGCGCTTGTTATTCTATATTACCCTCAAGAAGCTGCCGCACCTGGTGGGTTAATTAACTTGGAAACAACAGGTGATGATTCAAGAACACTTACTATGGCAGACTTTCCTCACGTTGTTAATCTTTTCCCTTACCACTTGGGCGACCGCTAGGCCATCCTTCACCGCAATTCGAAAATCATTCATTATATCTGAAAAGGAAACAAATGAAATGTCGCTCGCGGACAGAATGGCTTACTTGGAGGCACCCTGGAGGAAGGTGGCCACAGAAGTAAAGGTGACTCCTAGAGTAAAGTAGTAGTCGTTAGTAATTTGGTCCGTCAGTATTCAAATGGGAAACACACCTGCAATTACTAGTTCACGTCATTCATTACAAGTGAAAGAACTATAACTTGGTAATAAATAACTAACAATGTACTAAGTAGCTCACAATATCAATTCCTGACACTTAAAATAATAATTGACATCATTAATAATACAAAGATTTATCCAATTCCTCCACAAATTAATGAAACTCTTAAGCAGTAACAGTACCACAGCTGGAGTATCACAGGTATGTTGCAAAGAAACCAAATAGCACTTTACCTGCACAGCATTTGGCAGAATCTGGGATGACTTTACTTAGTCACACCTCTTAATAGATGTAATTTCAATATGTACTAAGATATGGGAAGCATTTGTGTACTAGTTGTAGTATATTATTATTTAAACGAAACTCAACTAAATAGCTGTGCACTGTGCTGTGGTTTACCTCGTTGGCTCCCTCGCTCGTTCAGTGTTTCATTTTTTCGTTATTCTATTTTTATTTACCATTTTAGTTTTCCTCGATGTTTTTTGGTGCCACTATGTGCTGCCTGTTAAGTGGTCCTAGCCACACTGTTGATATTCCTATGAATGGTGGATCACATACACACACAATATCCTTTCTTTATACCTATTATGATGCCAGCTTTGTTTCTGTGTTATGCCCAAACACTCTAATGCCTGTTGTTTCCTTCAAGGGTGCGCTATTATTTCACTTAATTTATTTTATTTGATAGATTCCTCAACAATCATCACTGGTATTGCTATAGACTGCCGATCAGTGGCGAAAAGGTTAAAACAAAAGTAAAAAGTAAATAAAGTAGAATTATTGAGAAGTTACCCATGTAAGAAAACGTACCCATAAGGTACGTTTTCTATATGTGTTCTCTTACAGCGTAGGCTAAACTAATTTTATCAGACTTACCACCACCATTATTTTACACTATTTGTGTAATCAAGTCTTCATATATTTACGTCTCAATTAATCTGATACCAAAATGGGAAATAAATAAATGTACTGTATGATAAATTATGCAGAATATAAGTTTTCAACTTTTAGGTGTTATTCTCAGTCAAGAGTTATGCTATATATATGACTCGACCAGTAAGGGTGTCTGTCATTCTCTCATAGCGTGTGTGGCTGGGTGTTATGAGTGAAGGGGAGGAGGTGTGGTAGTGGTGAGGCTGGCTTGAGAACACCCTTACCTCACCACCACCGCCTTCTTCTCCTCGATGTGGTTGACATCAGCTGGTCACGACGTGGTCTTTAGGCATATCTCATTACAAGTGGCTGGGACGTGCTGCTGTAGGTTATAATGATGGTAATAATAATAGGTTGTGTTAGGTTAATGTTAGGTTTAGTTAGTGTTAGGTTTGGTTAGTGTTAGGTTTGGTTAGTGTTAAATTTGCTTAGTGTTAGGCTGGTTTGGTTAAATTAGGATAACTGAACAACACGAGGAGATAATTATACAATGGCTGACCTGTTATAACGCGTCGTGGAAGCGTAAATAACGTTCTATACTGTAGTTAAAATCACATTGCATCGCCCACTTCCTGATTTATACTGAGAATGATTGAACACGACGCAAAATTGTAAAGAGGTTTTCAAGATTTTTGCTATTAATCTTTGTCAGGGTGTTAAGAAACGTGTACAGTGGAATTGGATCACGTATACTAAAACAACTGTAAGTACATCCTCTAGTTATCAAAAGGTTTCAATTCTATTTCTTTTAGCCGTTAGAATTCAGCATTTATATGTGTGTGTGTGTGTGTGTGTGTGTGTGTGTGTATGGGGGGGTGATGATGAACGGGATACACCAACTTGTTCTCCTTTGAAGTGTTTCTTGCAGGTACAGTCACCCGCAAAAGTCATTCATGTTGCCTCTCCTTCTGAACCACGAAGCCCCGAGAGATTCAAACTCGTGAACCCGAAGCAGTAGACTGATACATTTTTCTGCCCATAAATGCTTTTGATTCACAAGTCTGAATCTCTCGGGGGTTCGTGGTTCAGAAGAGGCGACAGGACTTGTGTGGGTGACCTTCGTGGTGTTAATTTTATTCTCAAACGCTTATTATTTCTCACTTCTTACAATTGATGATTAATATTTATAGAACGAAAATTATACTCAATGTGAATTTTTTTAGGTCTGTCAAACAAAATCCTTAAGGAAAACACAATCGGTCATTGGAATCACAGCCGACGGTCTTTTGTATTACCGCTCATATGATGAATATGGATGGCACAATAAACTAGCTGTTCACGGCAATATTTAATCCCTCACTTAGTATTAACAACCCAGTGTAGCTGAACCATCACAGACCGACACATCGATACGTTCAGCTGTCAAATAGGTACAGCGCGATCGAGGTAAGCTCAGTGTTGGTAGCGACTCACACCAGGCGTTTATATACAAGTACTGAGGATCCTTGGCTGGTCTCTGGAGCTCCACGTGCCTCTAAACTCTGCTTGTTTCTGTGGTCTTCGTCTTTCTCACGTTTAGGAAGGCTGAAGGCAGCATTTCCCATGAAGTGTTGTATAATATTTAATATACACCCATCTGATTACTGTCTTAGTCACGACCGTCTGATTAACGATAAAATGGGCATAAATAATTGACGATGAGAGGAGTTAGCTGCGTCAGTTTGGTCCTTAACTAGGTGATCCAGGTCGTGACTTTGTGCTCTGTTCTCCTGAGCTATAACAGCCAATTAACGACACAAAGATCCTATGGGAGAACCACTCCGCCAATGGGGATGCTTCATTGTATCGACGTCACCGAACACCTGCGCTCCACTACCAATGAGACATGAGAGCCACGATGACGACGTACAATGCCTGAATAACGCAGCCAATGAAAATCTTGGTGAGGTTTCGTCATCGTTCTGGTAACCAACCGCAGATAATGCAATTTTTCCATATCACCGTTCAAAACCAAAACAAAAAGGCCTCGGTGACGTCATGGTCACTCGGCCATTCCCCGGCGGAGCGGCTGATGACGGCATCGAGGGAACGTTCGCTGAGCCAATGAGCGCCGGAGAAGAGTATGACGTAGCCCGTGACTTTTGACACAAGGCGAAACGTGGGACCCAGTCGGAGTGAGATGAAATTAACAGCGCTCAGTGTAAGCCTGGGTTACCTGTCCCATGGTTGTGTGTGTGGTGCGCTCTGCTCCGCTCGTGTGAAGACTTGTGCCGCGCCGCGCTGCTCTCTCAGTGTTGTGTCTCACTAGTGCTTTATTAACTTGTGGTGGTAATGTGTGAGCGAGGTGATACGCCAGTGTGAGGAGCCGCCAGAGGTTGTGTGGCGCGGTGCTGGGGGAATAACTTGACGTATTAACCAGAGGAGTCAACGACAAGCGGTCAACCATGTTAGACGGTAAGCCTTATATACCCTCTTACCCCCTGCCAGGTCCTGAGGGCACGTGATAACCTGCACTAATTCCCTGGCGCTGGGGGCTTAATCACCTCACGTTAGGCCTAGAAGTGTGGGTGTGTGTGATGATGTTAGCGAGGTGGTGTTTGT